CTACCAAATAGGGACCCCGACCCCTCACCCTAAATATCAACGGGGATTGTGGGTCCATTCAATTCAGTTGTTTCAATGTCTTCAGGTTGCCACATCACTCGAAACAACTGAACCAGTTGCAACAGGTTGTCGTGCAGGGTTGTGCAGAGTTTCCGGATTGTTGGGGTGATTGCAGCAGAGTCAACGATGATTTTGAACAGCCTTGATTCATCCAGATTCTTCTTCCTTCAAATTGCGTACATCAAAATGTAATTTCTCTTCGCTACTAGTAACAAGTGCATCGCTACTAGTAGCTTCTTGTTACTAGTAGTAAGAATGCTCCTAGTAGCGATGCCAGGAGCCCCTAGTAGCGTCCTTGTTACTAGTAGCGTCCTGATCTCTGAGGTGAAAGATTGATTTTGCTGACTTTACAACGTTCTGAAGTCGCCGGATACCCTTTTTCAAAGGACATGCAAGTCTCACGATTGACCCTGCAAGGCATCCGCTATACAACCATGTGCAACCCTGAAACACATGTTGCTTTCTGGCTCTAGCCGATAGTATCAGTACAGACGGGCCGGCAATAAGGCCCAAGCAGATAAACCGTCAGGCCCTTCAAGTGGAGGTGTCCCAATCCGGACATCGGCAAGAACCAAAGCAGCAAGAACGGACAACAAACAATTCGATAAACATGGTGGAAAGGCAGCACCATTACACCCGACACCAGCCAAACTCCAATTTTTTTCATAAAAGTCTCATGAACTTCGTTCAATTTGTATCGAGCCTTGGGTGTCCCATGGAGCCCCTGAGCACACCAAACCTGCGGCCGAACCTCGGCCTCGGCGGCTCTGCTTCAGCCTCCGCCCTGCGGGTGCGTTCAGAGGAGCCGAGGGCCGAGGGTTTCGCTCAGGGGAGACGCGGCAGGCCTCGGGGTGGGGGGTCATGGCAACACGCTCCTGGTTCCTTTTGCTATTAGGAGCAAAGGGCATCGCTACTAGGAGCAAGGACGCTATTAGTAGCTCCTGGCCTTACTACTAGGAACAAGGATGCTGATAGGTTGGAGGCCAAATTTGAGACGAGGAGCCCTTCTCGACGCCCGTGAAGACCTACGAGCCACGGAGCCGGGAGCTTCAACCGCTGCCCCTGCCGCCCGGGCACCCAGTCGCAGTGATCCCGAGTGAGCACTCAAGTGGATCAGTCTCACAAGGGATGCTGCACATTCAGATCAATAGGATTAATTTTCTTGAACATGCTTCCAAGAACATGCAGGTTTGACTGAGGGCTTTGTGTTCTGTGTGTAACAATCCGTGCAGGACGTATGGAAGCCCTCCAAATGGCAAGGCCTGGGAGCTCAAAGGGCACAGCGGAGTGCGGAGAGGGAAACCATGCAATCTTCACCAGTGGAAGAATCCAGCAAAGGAGTACTAACTTGTGTCGATCATTGAATCTGAAGTAGGTCCGAGTTTGTCACGTTTAAGTCTTAAGTTGATCATGAGCTGCACAAAGAAGTTTGGACTACCCAGCTCTCTCAAGTGCTTAATGAAGGCAGGTTTCATGGTCGGCCCTGGGCTTTCTGTCATGCAATCCCCCATGGCAAGCATCTCTTGAAGTAGGGTTCCATTTTGCTCAGCCTGGGATTGTGTTCTCTTTGAAGCTTCAGCCCCTGTCATTTCCAACTATCGACAGTTCCCAATGATACATTTTCCGAATCCAGAAAAGGACAGGTAACTCCGGTTTCAACCGAAGAACTAAAAGCATTCTTACGTTCGCTACTAGGGGCTCCTGGCCTTACTACTAGGAGCAAGGACGCTAGTAGGAACAAGTGCCTTACTAGTAGTAACAAGAAGCTATTAGAAACAATAAGCTAGTAGTAACAAGTGCCACGCTACTAGTAACAGGTACCTTACTACTAACTAGTAACAAGAACGCTACGAACGGGGCTCCTGGCATCGCGACGAACGGAGCATTCGAGCTCGGCAGGATACCTCGTGGCTTCGGACCTTGGAGCAGCAGCTGGTGGATCGTCTCCGAAAGGTCGGGACATGACCTTTCTTTTCTCTGGGGTAGTAACAAGAAGCTATTAGAAACAAGTGCATCGCTACTAGTAACAAGTGCCTTACTAGTAGTAACAAAAAGCTATTAGTAACCTGTCATGACCTTGCTATATAAAGTATATAGTTACTTTCAGTTTTTGAGGGGGTAGGCCGCCAGTAGAGGTAGGTTAGCTTGAGGTAGCTAGTAGTAGCTAGGTAGCTAGTAGCTTAAGTAGCTACTAAGCTACTACTTAGGATGCAGGATAGCTCGTGCTAATGATTTGGTTCCTAGATTTTTAGGGACACTTAACATTTTCCCTTCTCTTTCCAAATTGAACATTCTTGAACATGGTGTTGAACGATTTGTTCCCCTAACCCATTTGTGCCCCTAATTAAGCATCCCTTGCATGATTCCATGATCTCTTCTGCTTTGCCCCTCAGGATGCATACTTGCTCTCTACCTTGAAGCGAAGCATGCGCAAGGAGAGACGGGGCGTAAGGTGAATGTGTGGATGGGCGAAAGCTAATCCAACGGAGGCCATCGCCTCTTAGGTTGTAGGCTATTGCAAGTAGGTTGGAGGCCATTGCTATCTGGTCGCAGCGCATCCCACAATCCAGTTTGTGCAGGGAGCATCAGGGTGATGAACCTGCACTAGATCAGGGGCAGATCCAGATCCAAGATTGAATTACACACGAAACTGTAGCGAAAGGTAGCAACCCTGATCAAGTGGAATGATCGTCATATCGACAGTCATGAGTAGAGGACGCTACTAGGAGCAAAGGGCATCGCTACTAGGAGCAAGAAGCTACTAGTAGCTCCTGGCCATACTACTAGGAGCAAGAGAAGGCTACTAGGAGCTTTTTCGCATTTCTCGGAGTGCATGGAGCTTGGAAGGACATGGAGGAGCAGGTGCAGTTGGCGAGGAGAGACCTGGAGGTGCTGAGAAACTGCCCAGAAGCTTCCCGAAAACGATAAGTCATTCGAAGTCGATTTTTCTGTTGTTTGTTTCTTTTTCTGGAGACCATTCTTCTGTTTTGTTTCTTTTCTTTCTCCTTAGTTTTCTTTAGATATTCTTCCTTTCCTCCTTTGGGTTTTTGGACTTATCTAGCCTTTTGCAGCAATAGTGGCTAGGCAAGGCTACGCAAGAACTCTGACATGAATGTGTAAGCTCGTTGCTCTTGAATGCTAGCATCACCCCAGGGTACAGCCCACACTGAAGCTAGAACCACAAGATTGACAGAGAGATGGATCAAACTGGGAGATTGCCCATCCTGGTGAATGTCCGACCATTTCCACTTCATATATATATATATGTATGATGTGTGTGTGTGAGCATTGGTGCAGTCATGTGCAAACTAGCAGATGATCTATATCATCAGTATGATGCTGTGCCTGAAAGAGATATTGCTATAGACATCAAGAAGGACAATTGGTTTGTTGAAGAGTAGTCCCCTTTTCTTTGCCAAGTAAGGTGCAATTGCACGGTGAACATTTCCCTGCTCTCTGTGGCAGGTCTTCTTTGCTCGTGAGCTAAGGGCAATGAGGGACTCCACCACAGTGGAGGTGGGTGTTTTTATGAAAGCCAGAGACATGGAGCTATTAGGAGCAAGGGCATCGCTACCAAGAGCTCCTGGCATCGCTACTAGGAGCATTCTTGCTACTAGTAACAAGAAGCTGCTGGTAACAAAGGGCATCGCTACTAGGAGCAAGGACGCTACTAGTAGCTCCTGGTATTACTAATAACAAGAAGCTACTATGGCCGGTAGTAAGCCAGAGACATGGAGCTATTTGGCCATTCGCATTGCCCGCAAACCACACAAGCGATGAACAACTTCACTGTGTCATTGATGTGTAAGGGATATGATCGAGACATTCGCTCAATTACTGACTGCAACTATGCTTTTGAATGTTCATCACGTTTCCTGATGAAGACTGAGGTTTGTATGAATATCCCGTAAAGTCCTTCTGGTGGTGGCATTGAATGGGCGGCAGCATGAACATGCTTGCTTGAAATTGAGGTTCTGTATGGGACACATCCACACACGTATTCATGGCATTTGTCTGTGCGAGCTCTACACATTTAAGCTATCTTGCATGCGTGACGTGAGGTGCAAGCAATCGCGTCTGAAATTGTGAGCAGCTCAGACGACTGGGCTTCCGTCGGGTCTAGAGTCTAAGTGTTTTGATATTGTTTTCATTACTATTTTTGCCTTTTCATTCCAATGTCGAATGCTGGATCAAGAATCATTGGTCTCAATCTCACTCAGCACATCTCGGGCTGTATCAAACGTATCATAATGGTTGTCCAGATGGGAAATTGTTCAACTCAAAGTTACTCCAATAAAACCATTTATGAAGATTATTCTTACTTACGCTGCCGGTCTCTTTCCTTTCAACCAGTCATTTTCATTCTCTTTAACCGCTTCGCTCAGAAGACGCTGCGGCGGGGCGGCGGCAGCGATAACCTGGCAGAGGCGGTGGCCAAGCTTTGCGTGGAGCTGGATCACGTGACCAAGGAGACTCGAAGGGTCAGGGTCGCATGCGGCTCCATGCTCTTTTGGTCTTAGATCGACGCCACCAAGGATCTTTTGGCGTGTTGCAATTATTCAATGATCTAAGAAACAGTTCCGCCCAAAACCACAGAAACAAGTCTAGTTAGGCGTGGCCCAGGCTACTTGCTGTCGCTTGGAGCGACTGTGAGGAGTACTTAGGAACCACATCATTAGTGCGAGTGCTTCTTCAAGGAAGCTCCCCTCCGCCCTCAGGCGGGGGCAGCTTCCTTGGAGAAGTGTCAGCTATCCTGCGTCCAGTTACTAGAAGCCAACGAGGAGCGTATAAGTTTACTCCCTTACTTAATTAGGCGCCTGCTTAATTGGGCCTCGCCTCCCTACTTAATTTAAGTAGGGCCTACTAGCGTCCTTGCTCCTAAAGTAGCGAGGCCCTTTGCTCCATAGTAGCGTCCTTGCTCCTAGTAGTAAGGCCAGGAGCCCCTAGTAGCGTCCTTGCTACTAGAGAGGTGGGGCCTCGGGCTAAGAAAAAGGACAACTGGGAGTTTGTGTCTTCCAGCTCCAAGCCTTTGATGACTTGACCTTGTGAAGCTACCATCCAGGAGTCCGTGCCGCAAACGGTCTTCCAAGCCGCTTGGTTCAACATGCTTTTAGGGTTGGGGATACATGGGGGGTTTGAGAGGTTTTACAGCACAATTTGAAGCACTGACGCTGCCGCTTAACGGTTGTGGGAGCTGTTTGTGAGGACTTTTGGTGAGAATCGGATCTCTGTAATCCTGAGACCTCATTGGGAGAACTCCGGAGAGACATGGAGGAGCAATTGAGGCCGGCCGAGGTGGATAGGTGGAGGGATAAGAAGAGATTCTGCATGATTCCTCCTAGTAGCTTCTTGTTCCTAGTAGTAAGGCCACCTAGTCGCGATGCCAGGAGCCCCTAGCAGCGTCCTTGTTCCTAGTAGCGATTCAATCAGTGATCATACGGTGAAGTTCACTTTGACTCTGTCGGTCTTTAACATGTTCTCATTTGGAAAGCGCTAGCATGGAAAGCTTCCACAAGACTTGTGCAGGGAATTATTAATGCAGCACAGTGTCACAGTGCTCAGATATTTTCCAAGCGGAACTCGTGGCACAACTCCTATACAGTATACATTTGACAAGGAGCAAAGAAGCTACTAGGGGCTCCTGGCCTTACTACTAGGAACAAGAAGCTACTAGTAACAAGGGCATCGCTACAAGGAGCGATCGGACGCTACTAGCAGCAAAATCGCTGCGTTTTTGTGAGCCCCTATCATAGCTTCTTGTTCCTGTAGTAAGGCCAGGAGCCCCGTTCGTAGCGTCCTTCAAGGAGACTTCACCCAAGTGCCCAGACTGCCAGGAAAAGATTGTCGGAGCTTCCGGAAGATCGCCGCTTCGATCGAGAAGACTTCCGGGAGCTCCGCGATGAGATCAAAGAGCTGAAGACCAGAGTCGAGCGACTTGAGGAACAGGAGCGTTTTTTCAGAAAACTAGCCCCGGCGGCTTAGCGGTAGCAGGAATGTGCTTTCTAGAAATCAGGTTCAAAAGAAAGGACTCAGGACATTAAAATGATCCAAAGGTCTGAAGAGAAAACCAAAAGAAACACGCATTGCCAAAAGCCTTCTAGCTGTAACTCTGGGAGTAACAATTGGTGGACTTTGCACTTCTGTGGCATCACTTGTGAAGATCGATATGTAGGATTCGGACTTGGCCCGGCGGCGGTTCTCAGAGGAGTGTCTTCACCTTAGTCTGCGGCGTTCAGGGTTGTGCTCCTGAAACATCTCCTCCGCCTTCCCGAAAAGCGCAGAGGAGTCATGAAGCCAAGATGATGAAGTAAATGCCAGGCTGCAAGCAGACAACCACCCAAGCACTCCTCAACTGTTGCAAAAAAGAACTCTGAAAGTGCTTTCCCACCTTAACAGATCTTGATACCTGGATATACTCAGGGGGAAAGACTTGAAAGGAAAAGCTACTATGCCCACTTCTGCTCCAGCTTTTACAGTGCAATCTTTTACAACAACTGCTCCTCCTACTCAATGCCACCCCAACCGGATTGATTGAACCATCTATTGTTATTCTTCTTAAATAACCTCATCACCCTCAGCCATACTTGAAAACCGCACATGTCCATTCAACCAAACATCCTTTCCATCATGCCATCATTGGCCTTCTGTTCTTTGTTTCTTTGCTACTAGTAACAAGTGCCACGCTTCTAGGAACAAGTGCATCGCTAGTAGTAACAAGAAGCTATTAGGAACAAGTGCCACGCTATTCTTTGTTCTTTGTTTCAAATCGCTCCTCTTCCGCGATTTGCTTCACTTCATCGGGCATCAAAGAAGGCGCTTAAGAAAATTTTCACCCTTTCTGGTCTTTGAAGCTACTAGGTGGAGGCCATCGCTATTAGTAACAAGAACGCTTTCCAGTAACTAGAAGCTGTCAATGATGCTCGGCTTTGCGCCCATCTTGGCCCTGTCATTTCGCTCGGATTGGTTCCCTCACAGGTCAGTGATAAGTTGCAACTGAACCAATATCTATACCTTAACCATGAACTGCATGAACTGCATTGGCAATTGCGATGCCCAGGTGCTCAGAAGATCGGGAGCTTAAAGGTGCGGATCTTCTCATTGGCTGGACCTGAGATCAACGAAGAAAGTGTTCTCGTCACAAGCAACCTTCTTATCAGCATTAGTCAGGATTTAGAGTGGAGATACTCTTACAGGATCAATACAGAACCATGCCAAGAAAACAGACTTCCTTGCCGGAATGAGCCCTGAATCGCAAACACTGCCCACCTCGGGCACAACAGGAGGAGTTGGAGCAACACCGTCAAAGTGGCCGTCAAAGTGAGAGGCACCTGCGTCAAGAGTGGAAGAGCGGCCTTGGAAGCCTCAACGAGAAGGTGGAGGCGACAACGTGGAGTTTCGGAACGAATCGAGAAGCTATTTTGCCACAGAATTGACTTCCATGCTGTCAATACGAGAAAGAACACTGGATTGGGAGAATGATGAGAAGTCCTACTGAGCTCACCGATATCTCATTGGTATCCAGGAAATCCTTCTGTTCGGTGCCATGAGATGGAGATACCAGCGCCGTGTTTCCATCCATCGAAGTACCGATGGCCACAGGCGTTGCGCTTGGATCTTGGTGCCGCCAAAGAGAAGCTCAGTTCCTTGGTGACACTGACCTGAGCGGATGAGATGCCGCACTTAATAAGCACTTTCCATTTCTTTAGTCCAACATAGTCAAATCACGCACCTGCCGAAATCGAAAGCACGTGAACTTTCCAACTCCAAAACTGAAGGACCTATACCTATGAGCCTGTGCCTATGAGCCTACCGGAGTCTGCGGCGTAGCCGATGACGGTTAAGGTGTGCGACCACGGGAGTTCCGAGACGACCAAAAGCTGCAGAACGCGATGCAAGAAATCACCGAGTTAGGCAATGACCTCTATGAGCTGAAGCGACAGGTTCGAGAAACTGAAGCGACAGGGACGACAAGAGGAACAATGAGAGATTTGGGACGACAGCTTGCATTGTGACAAGGACGCTACTAGGGGCTCCTGGCCTTATCACTAGGAGCAAGGACGCTACTAGGGGCTCCTGGAGTGATTAGTCTGGCAGGTGAAGCAACAGTCTGTCGACCTGCTCAAGAGAAGAGACACCCAAGACGATCTCGTCGAGTCGGGTGTCTCATCAAACGACATGCGTGGGGCAAACAACATCACCAGCGAGCGGAGCCAGCCGAGCTCAAGAACTGCTGAAACTTGTGTCCAAGTCCATGAGGATCGAATGACCTGCCATTGTTGGTCATCCGGTGAAGCAGGGTTGACCCACCTACCAAAAACAAACTCAATGCTCTCTGCCCACATGAGATACACTATTAACAAGCCCTTTGTTCTTAGCAGAGGAATCGCTCATCCCTCGCACCTCGAAGTAAACTGAACCGTAGTACTAGTAACAATGTTCGCTACTAGGGGCTCCTGGCATCGCTACTAGGAACAAGAACGCTAGT